ACAACTCTTATAATTTTATTGCAAGGCTCATGATATTTAGTGTTCCTCTTAATGTCCTAGCTCCTGGAATCATATTCTTACATATCAACTTTCATTTTAAACAAGTAAATTTCTAACCTTCATGGTTTCAGATAAATGCTTTAAAAGGTGATTCCTAAAGGCTCAAAATCCAGAAAGCAAATAAGACGATATAAATAAATAAATGCTGTTTTTCTTCTCAGATTTTTTAAGCTTGTTATTGAAATATTGGACATTGTCACTATTATTGCCAATCTCTCGCCCAATATGGGTGAGGTGAAGGCCGAGCCAACAGCATCCCCTGTGCTCATCCCACAATCTCCTCCTGTAAGCAATCCCATTTTCCTCTATCTGCCACAGAACCCTCTACAGGGCTATGGAATGGAAGAGAAGATCCCCTGCTCTTGAGCTCCTTACAGGGCTGGGAAGGATGTGAAGATCCCACTTGTTTCCTTCGTAGAAGGAAGAATGGGAAAGAAGATCCCAGCAGCTCAAATTCTAGCACCAACCATAGATGATAAGTGTTCTACTTCCTTAATACTATAGCAGAAAGACAAGTGGGAAGCAGAAAATAAAATGTTCTAAACAAAAGCTCAACAGTGAATCAAAGGGGGAGGAGAGAGAGAGAGAGAAAGAGAGAGAGAATGTGTGAAAAATGGCCATCTTCTCAGCAATAAGTATACAATAGGTAATTACTTGTTAGAAGAGGGAGAGCATATTTTCTGTAGACTAATAAAGTTCCCTGTTTAATGTTAGAAAAATAACTTGGGGGGGGGGGTCTTTACTCCAGTGACATTACCTTGGCAGGCAAGGGGGAAATTATGGTGTATTCTTTCTGCCATAGTTGGTTGAAGTCTGTTTGCTGAGGATGTGCTTACCCTCTACCTGTGCTATTCTGGGCAAGATTTCATTCCTTTATATTAATTAAACACCGCTCTAAACCAGCTCATACCCAAGGGTCCTCCTCACTACAGAAAGCATTCCAACGTTCTGGGAATCCTAACTTGTCATTCTTTTGGAGCTGCCTAGGTGACTGTTGGGCTTTTGGCTAAGAGATATATGGGATCAATTAAAAGACATTTGTTCTATGCTGCTAGACATAGATGATGAAATTTTGGAAAGGTTTTCATATTACTGAACTTGACAGGAGTGTGACATTACTTCCTTGGAGCAAGACTTCATAATAAGCTTGCTGAATTTAAGAACACTTGGCACCCATCCTTTGTATATTGTAACAAGTCAGAGCATTGATAGATGTGCCCTTTTGAGGGCTGGTATGAGAGAGTTATTTATGTTTGATTGCTTTATGGCCACTATTTTCTGTGTTACACAGCCTTTGGTCTTTATGTTCCATAATATACTTTGAGTCACTGTACTTAAATTTAAAAAATAAAACTAAGTGCTGTACCAGGGAAATACAGAAGTTCATTCACTGTAACAGGAATTCATGATTAAAAGTGTCAATCAACCTAGCAATAATAATAATGAAACAAGTCCCCAGCTGATACACACAGATCAGTGTAACCTTGAGCAAAGGAGCCACACTGGAAATTATCACACAAGCTCCTGGTGAGAGATGCTTCTGGAGTTGAACACCCCCCATTCTCTTCAGTCACCATCCATAAAAAAAGCAAGGAAGTAGGCAGGCAGGCAGGATGTGATGGCAATTTACCAGATTCTCATAGCAAAGATCAAACTTTCTGGAACTGGTGTCACCATTGTTATATTCAAACATGATAGAAGCCAGTGATGAAGGGAAAGGGGTGGTTAATGTTGATAAAGAGGGAAACTATGGTACTTTAAAAAATATTTTTGTTTCAGTTTTAAAATTGTTTATGAAGTTTTAATAAAATAAAAATAATGTAACTGTCACTAGTGTGAATAAGCAACAGTGTTCTCTTCTGGATGAATCAGGACTAATCAACAGTGTCTTACAGACTGCATACTACAAAGAATGAATAGAAATTTTTCTCTAGTTTAAAAGCAGTAGGGGGCTTGGTTTTTTGTTGCAGGAGGACCAGAGTTGGGGAAGGGATAAAAAGAGATCTTCACAGAGAGAAGGAATGAAACAGTAACAGTGGGGTGATGGTGAACTGATTTTCCTCAGCCCCTGCATTAAAGAACAGTGCTTGCTGCAGGTGATCAGTAAGAGAATCACCCCTTGTATTGTTTTAAAATTAAAATGTAGTGGCAGGGAAAAGAATTACACCCCTTGGAATCAAGCAGAAAAAAAGCATGTGGAACAGAGAGAAACTATGTCACAGTCTGACACAGATGGAGGCTTGCAAATTAAACAGAACCTCAGAGTCTTCAGAAATAGAGGATGTGCAGGAGGCTATACAGAAAAAGGCTGTACTAAGCCAAACCATGGCATGGGGCTCTTTGGATTATAGCCAGGCAGAAGTTTTGAAAGTCAGCTCAGGGAGGGACTCCCAGCTGGGGAGTAATCAGGTCAGCTGTGCCTAGTTAGGCTCAGAGCCTTAAAAAGATACTGGGTTAGTTCTGGGAGGTTGCTGCCTTGAAGCATGAAACAAAAAGGTACAGAATGGTGGGCAATAGATAAGGACTGCAAGAGCTCAGAATAAAATCTATGCCAAACCCTGTGAACAGCACAGTCCTTGAGGGGTTTTACGCCAGTAGGCTCTGCTGCTGAAGGAGTCCACTAGTGACCAGCACCTTTCTCCTTCTGGTGGAATCAGATTATGCCCAAAGACTGCTGGCAGCCTGTTCCCACTCCAGCATTTTGAGGGGGCACTGGTGCTGTGCTCTGGTATTAAGAGTAATTTCAAGGAAGACTCCTCATAACCAACTGCTCAGCTTCCTTTAATATCACTAGGCATTGGAATTATTAATATTAGTGTGAGAAATCACCAAACACCAATTTAGCCATAATTCCTTTATTCAGTCCAAGGCCAAATGGTATTTTATGCAATTGCTCTATATATGCTTAAAAAGACCAAATAATAAGCAATTTACTATATCCAAACAGTAACAAAACATTTATAAGCATTTGGTCAAGATACTTACTAATGGGCTAAACCCAGAAGTGCTAGACCCATAGTGGTTGACTCCAGCATGGTCAAGCAGCTATTAGCAAGGAGTTTACTTTTTATACCCTTTAAGAGTTTACTTTTTATACCCTTTAACAAACTACTGGTGTCACTGCCAATTACTAACTTCAGCTAAAAACCAACTGGAGACAGTTTACCCTTATTTCCAGTCTTAATCCAGATAAGATTTACAATCTCCTTTCTTCCTAAGGCCTTTCCTCTCCTCCTTGCTGCCCAACAGTTTCCCCATTTTATCTGCGTTCACATAGGCATTAACACTAGTGTGTGGGTTGGAGAAGGGCTGTGTTGGCTCATTTTAAGACGGATTCTCTTTGTTTAATTTAAAACCATCTGTAGTCACCCCTATTAGTCAGAGGCCTTCATTTTAGAACATAAGAACGGCCATACTGGGTCAGACCAAAGGTCCATCAAGCCCAGTATCCTGTTCTCTGACAGTGGCCAATGGCAGGTGCCCCAAAGGGAATGAGCAGATAGGGTTTGGATCACTTGATGATAACCTGTCTCCCAATCCCAGCTTCTGGCAAACAGAGGCTAGGGAAACCATTCCTGCCCATCCTGGCTAATAGCCATTGATAGACCTGTCTTCCATGAATCTATCTAGCTTCCTTCCCTCTAGAAACTTCCCCTTATCTTGTTAGTTAGTCTTTGAACCAGACATCCTCTCTACTTTATTCCTTCTGGCCTTATTATTTTCAAGGTCTTCCTTCTACTTGCTAGTTAGGGCCTTTCTTTACTATATATTTCCTTAATGAAACTTAAACTAACTTTAATTCTTTAATTTTATACTTATACTACACTAAAACAGGGAGGAGGGTTTGGCCTTCAAAGAGCCAAAATGATGGAAGAAATTGTGTTAATTTTTAAATGCACTGTTAAATCATGAATTACCAAGAAATAAAACTGCTTGCTATCGATTTGTATGTATTAATTATGGAAAATTCACCATGGAGATTAATATACTCGCAGGTTTGTCTTACAGTAGTTATTCTGGAAACTGTCCTTTTAAATAAATTCCTTAAGAGAACTTTTTCTGTTTAATTTTTTCTAATAGACAATAGAAAGGAGCATTAATTCTGGCAAGTCAAATATAAAAGCATAATTAGGCAGGCCAAAAAAGAATTGGAAGAGGACCTAGTAGCAGACTCAAAAACTAACAGCAAAAAAAAAATTTAAGTACATCAGAAAAGGAAACCTGCCAAACAAACAGATCCCTCACCAAAGGCTCTTAAGGAAAGTAAGCAGTCATGGGATAAGAGGGAAGGTCCTCTCATGGATCAGTAACTGGTTAGAAGACAGGAAACAAAGGGTAGGAATAAACTGTCAGTTTTCAGAATGGAGAGAGGTAAATATTGGTGTCCCCAGGGATTTGTACTGGGACTAGTGCTGTTCAACATGTTCATAAATGAGCTGGAAAAGGGAGCAAACAACAAGGTGGTAAAATTTGCAGATGACACAAAACTACTCAAGATAGTTAAGTCCAAAGCAGACTGCAAAGAGTTACAAAGGGATCTCACAAAACTGGATGACTGGGCCACAAAATGCAAAATTCAGTGTTGACAAATGCAAAGTAATGCACACTGGAAAACATAATCCCAACTACAGTAGAACCTCAGAGTTACAAATACCTCAGGAATGGAGGTTGTTCGTAACTCTGAAATGTTCGTAACTCTGAACAAAATGTTATCGTTGTTCTTTGAAAGGTTTACAACTGAACATTGACTTAATACAACTTTGAAACTTTACTATGTAGAAGAAAAATGCTGCTTTTAACCATACTAATTTAAATGAAACAAGCACAGAAACAGTTTCCTTACCTTGTCAAATATTTTATTAACTTTCCCTTTATTTTTTTTAGTAGTTTACATTTAACAGTACTGTACTGTATTTGCTTTTTTTTTTTTTTTTTTTTGTTCTCTGCTGCCGCCTGATTGCATACTTCCAGTTCCAAATGAGGTGTGTGGCTGACCGGTCAGTTCATAACTCTGAGATTCTACAGAAAAGCTCTTGTCTAATGACTGTACCAAAGAACAGGATTTTGTTCCGAACTCTGCCTCTGCTTTGATGTGCGACCTTGGGCAAACTACCTTTGCTGTGCTTCTGATTTCCCATCTGTAAAACTCAGTGATTGCCTGACAAAATGACAATGGTGCTGCCAGGATTTTTGTATTAAACCTCCTACTCTCTCCACCCCTATATCTATGAATATGAAGACAGTAGGTTTTTTGGTTCTGTGTATTTGTTTTTTAGGGGGGGAAGAGGGTTCCTTTGCAGCAGCAGGATCTTTTCAGTCTTGGCGTAATATTCCACACAAGTCTGGCCATCATCCCTTTTATATGTGTTCTAGGGCTGTAGTGTTAGCAGTACAGTACAGTAATAGTTATGCCTTAAAGACATAGGGTGGGATCCACAAAGAGTTTTAGGCATTGCAAAGCTGAGTGTCACAGCACCTACCTTTAGGTGACTGGAAAATCACTGTGATCCACAAAGCCCAAGTTTGGTGCCTAGGCTCTTATACAATGAATGTGGAGAGACAGGCACATCAGAATGCAAGCTACAAGGGAGCTGCCTAAGCTAGCCAGTGGGAGACATTGATCAGAGGGGTGTGAGAAAAGCACCCCTCCTCGGAAAGAGGCGCCTAGATCTGCTAGTGATCCATAATGTGGGGGAAGATAGATCCTTGGCCACTTAAGTTGTGTGCAGGACCTGAAACAAAACAGCTGGGGGGGGAGAGGAAGCTCTATTATGATCTTTAGTCAGGTGGTTAGATTACTCGCCCAGGATGTGGAGACCCCCAGATCAAGTACCATGTCCTCCTGAAGGGGAGAAGATATTTAAAAAGGGATCTGCCACCTCTCAGATGAGTGCCCTAGCCACTGTGGGCTATGGGATAGTCTGATGTGGGTCTCTTTCAATCTCTGCTACTGAAGTTGTTCCACTTTGATTAAACAATGTTATACTTTATCTAGCCCAACTAATGTTTAAGAGTAAGAATGACTCTATAGCCTGGTGGTTGCAGCACTCACCTAAGAGGTAGCAGATCCCTGTTAAGCTGGGGGTCTCCCACATCCTGGATGGGTGAGTACCCTAACAACTAAGGTAAAGATTATATAGGGTAAAGACTCCTCTCTCTTTCCCCCCTCCCCAGCTGCTCTGTATGAACTTGCCTGAGGAGCATAATCTAGTAGGCAGGCCCCTGCATGCATCTGGAGCAGCTGAACAACTGTTGTTCTCAGTTTGTGACTTACTCTCTCTGGGGCTTATGCAGGAGGTAGGTGCCTGGGCACACAGAGTGAGGCTGTCATGCTCATGCCCAGAGGAAAAAAATTAGGTGCCAAGTAAATTTAGGCATCTACAAGTTTAGGTGGTAGCCAAGCAGGAATTTTGTGGATTGCAGTGGCACCTAAAAAAGGGACTTGGGTGCCTAAGTACCTTTGTAGATCTTGGAATGTGCAGTTACCCTTTTCATTTATAGATTGGAGGGTTGCTTCTCCAGTCCACTGCAGAAGCTGCTGGTGACTTTGAACCAAAATGCCTGGATGCTAGTAATCCATATAGTTTGGGGTGTTTTGTGTTGAGTTTTTTATGGGGGAGGCATACAGGGAGAGTCATCTGTGTGGAAGCCCATTACTACCACTTACCACCCCTTTCTCCTTGCATCCTCTGGACAGCAATGGCTCCTGCCTCAGGCTTCAACCTCTCTCTTCTCATTCCTCTTCTCATGTTAGGAAACCTGTGTAAATTATTGAGGATGTAGTCTTTGGTATTTTAGGTTGCTTTGTTCCTTAAATCTAGGGTGGTGGGAGGAAAACAGAGCACAGTCAGCTCTCCATATTACCAGCTTCCCCTATGGCTAAGCAGTCTAACACGTTTCTGGTTTTCCTGCTGCCATGTTATGTTGTGAAATGAAATTCTCTCCCCCAATGCCTAAATGCCAGGAGAACATGAGTGTTCAGAAACACAATTTGCACAGTGCAAAGCTAGGATCAAATCCAATCAATCTTTATATATGTAGCTTGAGTGGAAGTATTCATGTGGGTAAACACTTGCAGGCAGGGCCGGCTCTGGCTTTCTGTCCGCCCCAAGCAAAAAAAAAAAACCAGGGCGGCCAGAACGGCAAAGCAAAAAAAAAAAACCTGCGGAGCAGCCGGAGCGCGGGTGCAGGGGGACTGGCTGGGGGGAGGAGGGAGCGGGTGGGAGAGAGAGAGAAGGGGACAGCCAGGGCTACAGCAGGGCACTGCCACGCGGCCCCTCCCGCTGCGCCGCCTCCTGCGAGCGCTCCGCTCCGGTCTGCGGGGAGGGAAGGAAGAGAACTGCCCTGTAGGGTGCTCTGGTTCTCTGCGCCACCGCCCCCTACCGGACGGCCGGAGCAGAACAAAAAAAAAGCCACCGTGCCACCCTAGGATTGGGCAGAATGCCGCCTCGAACAATCTGCCGCCCCAAGCACCAGCTTGCTCAGCTGATGCCTGGAGCCAGCCCTGCTTGCAGGATTAATCCCTTAGTGCATTCCCAGCTCCTGCTCTCTGTGATGCAAGAAAACATATGTCCACAAATTACCAGTAGCGATAAAAAGCTTTAGCCCCTAATTTGCTTACCCTGTACCTTTTGTAGTCATTTAAACATTATCTAATTTAGGATAAAAGGCTGAAAGGTTAGCCGGTGTTAACTACCACCTTCTAAAAAAGTCAAACGTAAATAAAGCCTGCTTCCCTTAACATGTTACACTGCTCAAATTAAAATCTGGCAGGAGTTTAGCATTTAGCCCCACCAGTTTAGCATGTGTTTAAGTACCTTGTCTTCTTGACCAGAGGGTTAGAAGCTATTAGTTGGGTAACGCAATTTAACAACATATGCTCAACCCTAATCTAGCCAAGGCCTTGATGGCTGTCTACAGTGCAAGGCAATTGTGATTTGAGCCTGTCTTTTAATAAGAAGACTGACAAACCAGCCCACTTTCTTTTAAACAATGTAAGAGTGTTAAAACAAACAAACAAACAAAAAAACCTCATCTCCATAGTGGCACCTCCCTATTACTGAGCTGTGCAGTAAGTGAGCACAAGGGATTTAACCCCAAACAGGCTGTATATAGACCAAGCTCCATCCTGGAGGGAAGCGGCCCCAATCACCTCTATCGAGGAAGCATCTTCCCCCCTTAACAAGTCACCCCAAGAGCCGGACCTGCTGCTGGCGGATGCCCCGCTCTGAGCATACGGTGGCAATGCCCGGGGGGAGCAGGGGCCCCCGGGACAGGCGCTGCCCCGCTCTCCTGCCCGAGCAATGGCCAGACGCCGCCGGGCGAGGAGCGAACGGCCGAGAGCAATGCTCTGGGGCCTGCGACTGGGAGGGGCTAGGACAGACCAATGCTCTGGAGCGATGGGGGGGAAGCAGGTGCGAGAGTCCAGCGTGGACGGAGGGTAAAAGCACGTACTGTATAAACAAATCACTGATTCATGGATCAAGCGACCCCCCCACCCCACCCCACGGACTGACGTTTTTGCTGCCCAATCAGAGAACAAGAAGGGCGGGATAGCGAAAGGTACGCCACACAGGCAGCCAATCAGCGCTGGACTGTGGCGTGGTTGAGCCAGGAGCCGGAAGTGTGGTTAGGCGGAGGGGCGGAAGTGGTGCTTGGAGCTGAGAGCCTGACTGAGGAGGTGGGGCAGGTCCGGGCCGCGTCCCGCAGGGGGGCGCTGAGATGGGCCGGCCGCCCGGTGAGTCCCGGCCGGTGGTGTCCCCGCCGCTCGCGCGCTCCAGGCCGGCTCCCAGCACCTGAGCCCGCCGCGCCGGAGCCGTGGGTGGTGGAGACAGGGAGGCGCCGCTCCCCGCTCTCTGTCGGGACCATGCCGTGCACCTGCGGCAACTGGCGGAGGTGGATCCGGCCGCTGGTCGTTGTTCTCTACGTTGTGGGGCTGCTGGTGGCGGTTCCCTTGTGCGTGTGGGAGCTGCAGAAGCTGGAGGTAAGCGGCCCCCGCTGCCTCCCTCTCTCCCCGCGGAGAACCGAGGGGCAGGGGTGCGCGCGTGCGGGGCCTGGCTGGGCGAGCGTGGCAGCACCACGGCGTCGATCCGGGCACGACATAAACAAACAAGGCTGTAGCCTTAGCGTGGGCTCCCCTGGTTTGCATACACGCCGATGGGCTTCCCCGTTTGCTAGGCTGGCGTCAGCACAGAGCGCTGGACTTTGAAAACAAAATTAACGTTCACACCTTCAACTGCCATGAGTAAAACTGCGTGTATAATCCTATCATTTTCCTGTCCACGGGGGCACACACTGTGCATCTTGGCAACAGTTCTCCTATTTCAGTCTTGCATTTGGTCCAGCGACGAATCTAATGCCTTGCTCAAAACAATCATCTTGAGGCTCGTTTCCTGTTATTTACTCCTTGTAGTTAAACCTAATGTTACCTTCATAAATACAAAATCTTATTTATAAATCCTGTCTGCAGATTTATAGTTTGTGATGTCATAAAAAGAAAGTGACATCAGAAAAGTTAATTGAAAGTTCCCAATGTAAAGCCCATTAACTATGAAGTCCAGCTCTTTCAGAAGTCTTATTTTTTATACCTAGTGCTAGTATCAACATATGAAAGGACACAGACTCAAAATCTGCTAAGTAAAAAAAATAATTAATTAAAGTTACTACCTTCTCTTGTGGATTTAAAGATAACACAAACAGTAGCACATGAATGACTGAATGGAAACTGTGAAAACTAACTGTATTCAAGTGCTGATAAAAGCACAAAGTAAACAATGGAAGAAAATATTTTTCTCTGTTCTCCTTCAGGATCAATAGTCTTAGGTATTTTAACAATAGTGAATTAAACATTCAGGCATAAGTGATTAAGTTGACTGTTTCCCTTTAAAAGTGATGTCATTTGCCACTCAAGCATGGATGGGAGTCTGTCAATGCAACATGCTGAACCAGTTTCAAAGCTTTTTATACGAGTTTAATAGTCTAATCAAATAAATTATTTAAAATCAACTTGTTTTAAATAAGAGAAAATAGGTTTGAAACCTATGACATGAATTTAGTATGCATTAGGCTCACGTGGTGTGTGTGTGTGTGTATATATACACATACCACCATATGTGTGTGTGTGTATATATATTGTGTGTGTGTATATATATTGTGTGTGTGTGTGTATATATATATAAAACCCTTCATTTAAACTAGAAATACACTTTAATAAAGACTGATTTCTGTTGAAGCCAAAGGGGAGGCAGCCTGCTGTGAGCCTGTGGGGCAGCCAGACTCCCTCCTGGGAGCTGTCAGCAGAGCTGGGAGACCAGGGCTTCTCCCCTCTTCGTTCCTTGCCAGTGCTGAGGGAAGCCACCTTGGGCTCCTCAACCCTTGGGAGGGGGGTCCAGCTGCATTGGCTTCTTGGCCCCTCTACCCTGTTCCCTCTTTTTGAAATTGACAAGGCTGTTTGACTCCCAACAGAGGGAATGGGCGCAGGGGCTTCTCACCCTGGCTCCCAGCTGGGAGCGGAGTCCAAAGCCGTCAGGGCTTCTTGTTCCTAGCTAGGAGCCAGGGGTAGTGGGGAGCCACAAGTGCTTCTTGCCCCTGACTCCGAGCTGGGAGTGGGGTCCATTCTGGCTCCCATCCCAGAGCAGGGTTCAGCTGGGCTCTAGCTGCCCAGCTTCCTTGTCAATTTCACAGCTCCTGCCATGAAATTGACAAGAGAAACAATAGCTGATGTAAAGGGAGGCAGTCTACACGGACACTTTGTCCTCCTAACTACACCGACATAAGCCTTACGCCTCTCATGGAGGTGGAGTTATGTTGGTGTTGGTGGGAGGAAGGCTGTAATATAGACACTGACATAATTAGGTCAACATAAGCTGTCTTATGTTGACCTAACTGTAGTGTAGACTGGTCCTAAGTGAGTAAAAGACAAGTAATCTCAGTTTTTTTCCCTCCACTTTCACTGCCTGCTGTTTATGCTGTGTGAGTGAGAGAAAATAAGTACTCATAATTTCTACCTTATTTCAACCTTATGTTTGTTTTCCACATCATGAAATGCTTTCTTCTCTATTTATAAATAATACTAATATTCTTCTCTATTTATAAATAATAGGCATATCTCCATATATTATCTCCTAGAACTGGAAGGGACCCTGAGTCCAGCCCCCTGCCTTCACTAGCAGGACCAAGTACTGATTTTTGCCCCAGATCCCTAAGTGGCCCCCCTCAAGGATTGAACTCACACCCCTGGGTTTAGCAGGTCAATGCTCAAACCACTGAGCTATCCCTCCCCCCAAGGGATAAACTTATCCTGTTTATAAGTGTTCCTAACTATCAAAATTTATTCTAAATTGTGAGTTCTCACTAGTCAGACAACTGTGTTCCTTCTTAGATTATAAATAAAATTTCCTTGTTTTACCCAAGCTCTGAGAGCAAGTTGCATTTCTATATTCCTTTTTGCATTTTAAATTTGATCATTCTGTGTTCACACGTAAAAGCTTCTCTCAGAAATGTTATCTTCCTCTCTATATAGTCCCTGGGACTTCATTGTTTCATCCCACCATGCTGCTTAAGCACACCTCACCTTGCTCGACTTAAGCCTCAGCTTTATACCATTGCACTGGACAGTAACTTCAAACCTTCAACACCTGCTAACTAACCCTACACAACCTTTATGGTATTGAGGCTGTTCTATTCAATATATATACATCCTGTGGCTATTATTATTGAAACAATAATTAGAAGTACAATAAAAATTTAGCATTGAGCTTACAGTGACCACCTGATTTGAAGTTGTTCTCTTCGATCTCAAAAGATAGGAATTTTCAAAATGGAGAGGGGTAACTAGTAGTGTTCCCCAAGGGTCAGTCCTAGGACCAATCCTATTCAACTTATTCATAAATGATCTGGAGAAAGGGGTAAACAGTGAGGTGGCAAAGTTGGCAGATGATACTAAACTGCTCAAGAAAGTTAAGACCAAAGCAGACTGTGAAGAACTTCAAAAAGATCTCACAAAACTAAGTGATTGGGCAACAAAATGGCAAATGAAATTTAATGTGGATAAATATAAAGCAATGCACATTGGTAAAAATAACCCCAACTATACATACAATATGATGGGGGCTAATTTAGCTACAAATAATCAGGAAAGAGATCTTGGAGTCATCGTGGATAGTTCTCTGAAGGCATCCACGCAGTGTGCAGCGGCAGTCAAAAAAGCAAACAGGATGTTACGAATCATTAAAAAAGAGAGAGAATAAAACGGAGAATATCTTATTGCCCCTATATAAATCCATGGTACACCCACATCTTGAAACCTGCTTACAGATGTGGTCTCCTCATCTCAAAAAAGATATGCTGGCATTAGAAAAGGTTCAGAAAAGGGCAACTAAAATGATTAGGGGTTTGGAACGGATCCCATATGAGGAGAGATTAAAAAGGAGACTAGGGGGGGGATATGATAGTTATATAAAATCATGAGTGGTGTGGAGAAAGTGAATAAGGAAAAATTATTTACGTGTTCCCATAATACAAGAACTAGGGACCACCAAATGAAATTAATGGGCAGCAGGTTTAAAACAAATAAAAGGAAGTTCTTCACACAGCGCACAGTCAACCTGTGGAACTCCTTGCCTGAGGAGGTTGTGAAGGACTATAACAGGGTTTAAAAGAGAACTAGATAAATTCATGGAAGTTAAGTCCATTAATAGCTATTAGCTAGGATGGGTAAGGAATGGTGTCCCTAGCCTCTGTCAGAGGGTGGAGCTGGATGGCAGGAGAGAGCTCACTTGATCATTACCCGTTAAGTTCACTCCCTCTGGGACACCTGGCATTGGTCACTGTCGGTTGACAGGATACTGGGCTAGATGGACCTTTGGTCTGACCCAGTATGGCCATTCTTATTCTATACTCATTCATTAAGTATGGTTGTTAAATTTACATTAAAGATTTGGAGTGTTGTCTATCTCAGTTGAGTACCGTGCTCTTTTAATTGATTCCTTAAAGTGACATTATGTCATAAATTAAATAGAATAATATTGTTATTTAGTTGTAGTTCCTTGTTGAACATACACTTGCTTTGTGGTATTGTTTCCTCTGATTTTAATTAATTTTTATGCTAATTTTTATTTTTTGATAGTTTTAGAATTTATTTTTAATATTTTTATATAATCAATTATTGTATCATTAATTTACCTTTTTACCTTTTACATTGTGTAATACTTTCTCTTAGTTGCAATCATATTTCCCATATTCATTTTAATTTCCTTCCATTATTAATTTTATTAACAACTTTAATTTATTATAAAGTTGTTTCTTTTCGTTGGTTGGCATCCCCTACTGTATGAGAAGAAGAACCAA